TGACCTGGGCAGGAGAAGCAGTAGCAAATCCATCCTCAGGAAACTTCCTGGCATTGCCTAATTTCCTTCTGTCTGTCTCACCTTTTTAGGATCATCAGGTAAAATACAGGACACCCAGTTAAACTTGAACTCTAAATAAACAGCAAAAAATTGGGGAATATAAGTATGTTGCATGCAATATTTGGGACATGCTCACACACATAACCACTCACTGTCCATCTGAAATTCAACTTCAACTGGGAGTCCTGCATTTTTTTTATCATGATAAAATACACATAACGTAAAATTTAGCATCTTAACCATTTTTAAGTGAATGATTTAGTGGTATTAAGCACATTTGTATTGTTGTGCAACCATCACCACCATCCATCTTCAGAACCCTTTTCATCTTGGAAAAGTGAGACTCTGTACCCATTAAACAATAATCCTCCATTCTCCCTCTCCCTGCTGCCCCTGGCAACCACGGTTCTACTTTCTGTCTCTCTGATTTTTATCACTTTAAGTGTCTCATATAAGTGGAATCATATAGTTTTTGTCTTTTTATGACTGGTTTATTCCACTTAGCATAATGTCCTCAAGATTTATCCATGTTGTAATATATGTTAGGATTTCCTTCATTTTAAGGCTGAATAATATTCTATTTGTGTATATTCCACATTTTGATTATCATTTACCTCTCTACAGACACTTGGGCTGTTTCCACATTTTAGCTATTGTGCATAATGCTGCTATGAACATGAGCATATGAAAATCTTTTGAGGACCCTGCTTTTAATTCTTTTGGGTATATAACCAGAAGTGGAATTGCTGCATTATATGGTTGTTAGTTAAATTTTGTATAAATTTTAATTTTTAAAAAAATTTCAAATTTTTAATTTTTTGAGGAACCACCTTACAATATGGTTACCCACTACAGTTATGCCATTTTACATTCCCACCAAGAGTGCACAAGGGTTCCAATTTCTCCACATCCTTGTCCTCATTTTTTATTTTCTGTTTTTTTTTTTTATAGTAGCCATGCTAATGGGTGTGAGGTGGTATCTCGTGATTTTGATTTGCATTTCCCTAATTATTAGGAATGTTGAATATCTTTTCATGTACTTTTTTGGCCATTTGTATATCTTCTTTGGAGAACTGTCTATTCAAGCTCTTGACTCATTTTGAATCCAGTTGTTTGATTTTTGTTGTTAAACTTTAGGAATTCTGTATATATTCCGGATATTAATGTATTATCAGACAGGTGATTTGAAAATATTTTCTCCCATTCAGTCGGTTGCCTTTTTACACTGCTGATAGTGTCTTAAGATGCAGTTAAGTTTTTAATTTTCATAAAGTCCAATTTGTCTAGTTTTGCTTTTGTTGTCTGTGCCTTTGGTGTCATACCTCAGAAATCACTGTCAAATCCAATGTTACAAAGCTTTTGCTCTATGTTTTCTTCTTAGAGTTTTATAGTTTCAGCTTTTACTTTTAGGTCTTTGATCCATTTTGAGTTAATTTTGTATATGGTGTTACTTAAGGGTTCAACTTCATCTTTTGCATGTAGATATCCTGTTTTCATGGCACCATTTGTTGAGAAGACTGTTCTTTCCTCTTTTGATTGGTCTTGGTGCTTTTGTCAAAATCATTTGACCATATATGTAACGGTTTATTTCTGGGCTCTCTATTCTATTCTGTTGGTCTGTCCTTATGCCAGTACCACATTGTTTTGATTACTGTGGTTTGTAGTTAAGTTTTGAAATCAGGAAGTGTGAGTCCCCACATTTGTTCTTCCTTTTAAGATTATTTTGATTCTTTGGGGTTCTTTGAGATTCCATGTGACTTTTGGAATAGACTTTTCTATTTCTGCATGAAATATCATGGAGATTTTGATAGGGATTGCATTAAATCACTCTTTGTAGAGTATTGACCTCTTAACAATATTAAATCTTCCAATTCATGAACAAGAGAGAGTTTGCCATTTATCTACATCTTCTTTAATTTCTTTCAGTAGTATTTTGTAGTTTTCATTGTACAAGTCTTTTACTTCCTTGGTTAAATTAATTCCTAAGAATTTTATTCTTCTGATGGTATTGTAACTGGAAATATTTTCTTAATTTCCCTTTTGGATTGTTCACTGTTAGTGTACAGAATATAACTGAATTTTGTATGTATGTCAACTGTATGTTGACTTTGTATCCTGTAACTTTGCTGAATTTGTTTATTAATTCTAACAGTTTTTTTGTGGGATATTTAAGGTTTTCTACCTAAAAGACCATATCATCTGTGAACAGAGATAATTATACTTTTTCCTTTCCAATTTAGATGCCTTTTATTTCTTTTTCTTGCCTAATTGTGCAGTCTAGAACTGCCAGTACTATGTTGAATTGATGTGATGAAAGCAAGCATCCTTGCCTTGTTCCTGGTCTTAGAGAAAAAGCTTTCAGTCTTTCACTGTTGACTCTGATGTTCAGTGTGGGTTTTTCATATATGGCTTTTATTATGTTGTGGTAGTTTCTTTCTATTCCTAGTTTGTTGAGTGTTTTTATCATAAAAGTGTTTTGGATTTTGTCAAGTGTTTTTTCTGTATCAATTGAAGATGATCATGTGATTTTTCCCCCTTCATTTTGTTAATGTGGTGTATTATATTGATTGATTTTCATATGCTGAACCATCCTTGCATTCCAGGAATAAATCCTACTTGGCCATGTTGTACCATTGCCTAATTTATTTTCTTTGTGTTTTTAGTTTTATTTGTTTGCTTGTTTTTATTTATATGACATCAAAGTCACTCTTTAGATAAATATTCCCTATTATTTGTAGTGAAGAGAAGAATTAATGTTATTTGCATACTGCTTTAACACAAAACTAACCATTTGTTAGTTTTGAATAATGAAAGAATAAGTAAAACAATTTGGAGCAGAGTTTTATTGGTATTTGATAGTTTATTTGAAATCTCATCTATTTAACATTATTTTAAAACTTGTAACCTTTACTGTTCTTTTGAATTCTGGTTTTGATTTTTAACCGTTCCTTTTCTTTATCTTTTATCTTCCTTTAGCTCTTTTAGTATTGAATCTCCTAATATTTTTGATATATTCAAAAATATTTTTTCTCTCCCATTCTTAGTCTCTAATATAGTTTATTGATTTCTGTTTTGCTTTTATAATAGCCAAAAAGAAGCACAGCCTGAGGAAGACACCAGACGGAAAACATTCCCCATAAATCAGGGGAATCAGGGCCTTTTTTCTCAGCTGAAGCCTCAGGTTCTTCCTAATGTTTCTTCCAGATCTCTCAAGTTTGAGTGTTCAAAAAGTCTCATCCTAGAAAATCAGGGAGACCCATAGCTTACGTCGCCTCATTTTGCAATTCTTGTGCAGATCATATAATCGGCATTTTACACTATCCTCACCTTATATGACCATTTGCTGGTTTAAAATTTCTGGATTCCTCTCTTTTGCTTGATCTCATGCACACACACACACACACGCACACACACACTCACACACATGCACACAGACGAACCAAGAATCACTATCCCCTGAAGACACTGTGGCTCCTGCAGCCCTTTCAAGCACTGGCTGTTTTTCTGCCGTAGCCTTCAAGCAGCTGGGCCTGGATGTGAGAAAGGCACTCCCTTCACTCGTCTCTTCCTCCTTCCTCCACCACCCCCCACCTTGAAGCTCATGCCATCAGATTATATTAACCACTATTCCTTTGGTTGCTGTCATCTACTGACCCTGGTGTCAGTTTCCCTCATATCTAGACAATTTTTGCCTCTGGCTCACTGTCACTCTTTCTAATGTAATTGCTGTCTTAATTCTTTGTTTCAAGATCACTTATATAATTTGTAAGCTCAATACAACTTGAAAATATGAGTCCCTCTTCAAAAATTGTTAAAAATTTTAAAACAGTGACAGCAGAGCATTAAGCCAAGCACAAGGTCCCTCTGAGCATGGGTCCCTGTGTGATTGCACAGGTCACACACCCGTGAAGCTGGCCTTGCTTGGTTGGGAACCATTATTCACCTTCCCTCTCATTTTCATGGATGAGGGAGCTTCTGACCTCTCTCTGTGAGTGAGGAGTATTGGAGTGAATGCTTTCTGCCTCTCCCTTTATACTTTGAACTTCCTCTTCTCTAGGAAGGAAAGAGCGGCAGAGCTGATTAGTAAGAGTTTACATCCACTGGACCACATTTCATCAGTGGGTTGGGTTAATGTCCTAAAGCCATTGCTCTTGTCTCTTCCTTTCTCTTTTGGATTGCTTCTGGTTGGGCTCAGGGAAGTCACTTATCATTTCCAGTTTTTATACAGTGAACCAGATGTTTGCTCATTGTCTCACCATTTCAGGCCAATAATTTGGGCCCAAAATCTTCAATTAAGTGAAGACAGATTATAATCCTACTCCTTTGTCCTCAGGTTCAAGCCATTTTTGCCAGCATAGTTTATCCAACAATCCTGTACATTGACAGCTATTGGGTACTTGCCTAGTCCACAAATAAAGCTGATGTTTTGATCCCCATGTGGCTCCTACTTCTTTGTGGATATTTTCTATAAATAGAACATCCAAGCTTGCAATATGATGCTTTCAGTCTAGGCTTCTCGGTAATGAAGGATTATCCTGAAACACAGCCAAATGATTCCCCAATTGTTTTTGACTAATACTATTCTCCTTTAAGGGACTTGAATTTGAAAAACCCATGTCTTCCCACATTTATAGTTTTGTACTTTCCTATTTCTGACTTTCAGGGAAAACAATTTTGGCAGAGGCGAGCATGAGCTGACCCTCTTTGTTTTTGACAACCTCAGGGAAGGAAAAACATGACTGATAATAAGAGGTGTTTGCTTTGGGGCCAGCCCAGCTGACAGTCTCAGTCAAGAAATGACTTCGGTCTCAGGGTCTTTTTTGACATGTAATATTCTCTGAGTAAGCAGAAAGGACAAAACCAGCAGTTTGTGTTTTTAGGAAGTAGAGAAATTTTCTACTTATCATTCCCTAAAACCCAAATGTGTTCCCTCTGTTTAGACTGAGGAACTTTGAAGAATCTACCCTGTGAAACGTGTTGTATTTACTTGCTGAGTACTGTTGAGGTGGTCATCCATTATATCATAGATGGTCCTCTTTATGTGGAGGCAGGTGAGTAATTTCTTTCTGGTATTAGAATCAGTAATAATTGTGCTCCTTATGAGCATCACATTTGTTTTATATTCTGGACACTGATTATCTCTTTGCATTGGCCATGAGACAGCGAAGTTCCAAAATCTGTGTCCTACCTCTCACAAATGTAAGAGTCCTACATTGTGCAAGTGAATTTAATTCTGACTTTATCTTACCCTTTCTCCTTGTTTTCCACCTTTTCTCATCTTCAGCTTCTTATTTTAGATTTTATGCCATTTGGTATTGCATTTCAACATGTCACTTTAAATCCATACTACAATAGGGAAAAGTATGTATAAATAAATAGAAAAGGAACCATGAAAACACAGCACAAGATCATTTGCTCTTTACACATAAAATTTAAGTCACAGAGATTTGAAATCATGTGGATATGAGATGAGATACTAGAAATTTAAATTTTTAATCCCCAGCTCCATCACTTTTCATTTCTGTGGCCTTGTAAATGTCTTATAAATACAGATTTCTGCTCTGAAAAAAAATTAGGAATTTGACCTGATGTTCAGAGGCAATGTGAGGACTAATTTGTTCACCTGCAGTATAAATTTTAAAGCTTAGATTCATGGGAGGGAATTTAGTATCGTTAATTACGTCTTTGGGAGACAGGCGGGCTGGTGCTCCATGCAAAACCCACAAGTTGAATATGAAATCCACCCCAGGAAGGGTCCCTCAGCTGTAACAGACATCGTTCACCACGGGCTAAAGCCGTGTTGGAATTACCAGTAACACTGGTGCTGGACTTTTCTGACCTAATTAAAAATTTACAATGACTTTCACTGGAGTATTTCCTCCTTACCTTTAGCTCTACTTCAAAGGCATTATTTAACAGCATAACAATGCACCCCCTGATTATAAGCACCCTAGTTAAATATACAGAGGATGTTCACTAACGTTTTGTCTGAAACCGTTCCTTTTCGATTAGCTGTCAACAAGAGGCCATCTCTGTTCCAAGTGAAACTAAGTCATTATCCTCGATGCTTTAGCTTTTCTCTCATCTTGTGGGCTCCAGGGCATTAAGATAATGATTCTGCTTCCTTCCTTCCTTCCAGAAGAGTAGTGCCGTCCAGTCTGTATCACTTAACATTTAAATTTTTGATTGCGTAAACTGTTTAACCTGTTCAACTCCTCGTAGCTTAGCTCAGCAAGAGTAATTCAGGTCTGTTAAAATCTGTCACACAGAAACCAGGACACTGAGTGTCATATATATAGTAGGTTCTTTTCCTTAGTAGAATCAATACCCATTTACTCGTTAATTTATTGTTTATTATCCAAGTTCCTACAAGGTGAATTAAAGACCAGATTTGCTCATTTATCAGAGTTACCAAGAGGCTCAGGGAGTCCTGGAAGAGTCCAAGATGGGAGGTCTATTTTGCCTGTGTACGTAGGAACTCAGTCAACTGAAGACAGCCTCATCTGGAACATCTGGTTTGCTGGGACAGCACTGTGGAAACTTAACATATAGATTTTACAATATTTAGTAAACCAGGAGGAACAAATATGTACACCCTCTTCTTTGATCAAAAGATCTTCAGCATTCTACTGGTAAATACAATATCTTGTCTTCGGTTTTACAAGGACTGAAATAAACTTCCATAAATTAGTATCGTAGTTATTTATTAAATTAAAACAATGGCTAAATTTTTCTTTGTGATGTATCTCACAATATACTCCAGTGTAAGCCTTAATTTGGATTAAATATATTTTGATTTAGTTTAATCATCCTCTCTATGCAATCTCAATTTATATGTGTTTCAATGAGTTTAAAGATACCAGCGTTAGAAGGAAATTTGACTGACTTTGGAGTTAACTTTGTAGCTGTGTTGACTTTGGGGAAGTGACTTTGTTCTTAGCTTTGTTTTCGTTGCTTATAAAATGTGGATAATTATCCTTATATTCTGAAGCTGTATTAAGAGTTAAAGGAGACAATCTATATAAAACACATAGCATAGTATTTGGCACATCATAGAGACTCAATAAGAGGTAACTATTGTTAATCATCTTAGTTTAATAAAGAAAAACAATGCTATTCAATGATAAACTAGTTAATCTCTATGTTCCATATGCCATTTAAGTCTTATGGTTACTGCTTAAATATTGCTATGGAAATGTATGACAGTCACTCTTAGGTATTTGGGATATACCAGTTATAATCAAAGTTTTTGTTCTCCAGGAGCTAAGTTGGAATTATCTTCAATGCTGAAGTGATCATTTTATACATGTCACCTTGTGCGCATGAGTAAGCGATTCTGTGCAGCATATGCAAAGAAATGAAAGTTATAGGTCACAGGGTACACATGTAAGTTTAGCTCTGGTAGGTACTACAAAAATATTTTCAAAGTGTTTGTAGCATTTTACATTCCTACCAGCAGTGTATGAGAATTCCAGCTGCACTATATCTTTGTCAACACTTGGTATTATAAGACTTTTAACTTTTAGCCATTCTGGTGTACAATGGTATATTATTGTGGTTTACTTTGTGTCTAAATAATATCTCTTATTTAACAGAAGTTCCTAATTTTAACAGAGATCTAGGTATTAATCTTTTCTTATATAGCTAGTGTTTGTTTTCCTGAGGGATTTCAGAAATCTCTGCCTAAATTATGGTCATGAAAATATTATTTTTCTACCTTATTGCCCCACAAATTGATTGTTTTACCTTTCACATTTAGATCTGTAATTCATATGGAATGGTACTGTGTGAGTAAAGGGTCAAGATTCAAGTTGTCCTCATGTGCGTTACAGTTGACCCAGCATCATTTAACAAACATCTATCCTTTCCCCACTGGTGTGCATTGCTATGTTTTTTATAAATGTCCATATATACGGTAGTCTATTTCTGGGCTTTCTATTCCATTCTATGTATCCGTCTTTCTACGGGCAGTCCACACCATCTTAATTATTACAGCTGTATAGTAAGCCTTGATATTTGGGAATATAAACTTCCAACTTTGTTTTTCTTCTTCAGGAAAGAAGATTGTTTTGAGTATTTCTGACCTTTGACATTTCCAAATGAATTTTAGAATCAACTTGTTGATTTCCACAAAAATATCTGCTACAATTTTGATTTGGATTGCACTGAATCTGTATATAAACTTAAGAAGAATTGACATTATGACAATATTGAGTATTCCAGTCCATGAACATGATATATCCTTCTATTTATTTAGGTTTTATATAGCTTTCCTAGCACTGTTTTATAGTTGTTTGTATAAAGGTCTGGCACATTACATTTACTGTAGATACTTGATGATTTTGTAAATAATATTATTCAAGAATTTTTATTGTACATTCAGTTGTTGCTTGTACATAGAAATAAAATTGATATATTGATTTAGTTTTGAGTGATCTTAGTAAATTCACTTATTAAATCTAATAATTTATCTGAAGATTCTTTTGAGTTTTCTATATGTATAATCATATTGTCTATAGATAAGATGGCAGTTATGTTTCTTCCTTTTTAGTTCTTAATCTTTCTTTTCCTCTGTCTGAATGCCTTGCTAAGACCTCCTTGCAAAGTTAAATAAGATTGATGATAACAGTCATCTTCATCTCATTCTTGTGCAAATTTCTGTGTCACCATTAAATATGATATTTGCCCTAAGTCTTTTGTAGCTACTCTTTAGTAAATTACAGATATTCTTTTCTATTCCTAATTTGCTAAGAGCTTTTATCATGAATAGATATTAAATTTGTCAAATGCTTTCTCTACATCTGTGAAGATAATCACATGATTTTTCTCCTATATTTTGTTAATGTGTTGAATTACATTGATTGATTGCCTAATGTAAAACCCGCTCTTTCATTTGTGGGATAAATCCAGCTTGAGTATGATGCATTATCATTTTTATTTATAGCTAGATTCATTTTGCTAACATTTTGTTTAGGATTTTTGTGTTTTTATTGGTGAGAGAGAACAGACTTTCACTTGCTTTCTCGTACATCCTTGTCAGGCTTAGGGTCGTGGTCTTTCCAAATTCAAGGTATAAGTGGGGAATTATTTCCTTTTCCTATAATCTGGAAAAATTTATGAAGACTGGTGCTATTTCTCCTTAATGTGTGGAAAAATTCACTGGTTCTGGGGCTTTCTTTGTAAGCATACTCATTTTAGGGTGTATTTTCTTATTTGCTTTTGTTTTCAACACAGATCTGTTAGCAACTAAAGAAAGCAGAGGATTTACAAACATAGCAGGAGCATAATGTTTACAGTAAAAATGAGTGGAGATATTTGTAGAATTCTTATGAATATGTATTTTGTATGTATATATATGTTTATTCATGTATTTATTAATATATTAAACCTAAAGTAAGCACCTATTACATAGGCAGGCTCTGAAGGATCATTGATAATTTTATCAAGGATGTGAAATGTTCCGAGTGATATTTTACGTAGGTTGATTTGGTGGTGATTTGCCCACAGAACTGGACGGGGCAGAAATGAGAGGTTGGAGGACTAGCAGATGGCTGTTGCGACAATCCAGATGTAAAGTACCAAGGCTTTGACTTTAGATAACAACTGTAGAAATAATTAGGCAGACAGCCAGTTGGTAAAGGAAGAAGCAATAAGATTTGTTGGCTGACTGAAAGTCGAGGGTGAGGGAGAAAGCGAGATTTCAACTTGACCAGAGGTCTTGAATCTGGGTGATAAGAACTCAAGAAGGTGAAAGGGACACTCCAAGCCATGACAGAAAGGAAGCTCTTCAATGGGAGTATCTATTTCTGTAGTCTCATAAAGTTGGTGATGTTTATGGAACTCCACTCTCTGCGTTTCTTTGCTGTTTATTTTTCTTTCAGAGCTTTGGTATCAGACCTGGAATTTTGGTCTCAGAACCTGCGGCACGGAAGGTACAGCAGAGAAACTGCGCATTTTAATCTAAAGCAGGTGGGTAAGACTGCCTTAGAAGACAATTACCCTTTTAACTGTCACCTACTCTACCCTGACAGTATTTAATTCTGAGCTTCACAGGCGGAAATCATTAATAGCTTATCTCCCTCACATGTCTGTGCAAAGGAATAAAACTGATAAAAAATTTAAAATTGTAGTGGGCTAATTATAGTAGCTAAGTTTGGAATAGGTAATTAAAATCCCCATAACAGGCAAACATATTGAAATGTAATTGCAAATGGGGATGATTATGTTGAAAAGAGATCTGTTCATCTGGAACATGGTATTATCATGAAAAGGGATAATAAAGAGAAATTGATTTAGGCTATGTTCAATATCTAAGTTTGTTTACTTGAGGCATAAATATTGACCAGTGATGACTCATGTCAATATTTTGTGTTGCTCATTGTGCAATACATTTTTATGTTAGCTACTGGAAAAGTAATTTATCACTGCATTATACACCATGTCTTTTTGAGGGTGTGATACCAATATGTGATGAGCTACAAAGATTTAGTCTATACTTGTTAATTCGCTGCCTATACAGTAATGAACATTTTCTAGCTTTCTGGCCCATGGATTTAAATGTGGTGAATCCTTCCATTATCCCTGTTTTAAGGGATGGTTACTCTCTCTTCAGCGACTTAATTTAGATTTTTCAATCTACAAGATACTAGAAGTGTCCACCCTACTCTGTAAGAGGTTTTCGTAAGCTAACTTAAGTGAAAATGATAAGAGCTGTGTTTATTCAGTTCTTGCTACATGCCTAGAACCCTACGCAGTCACTTCATCTAGTCCTCACAGATGCCTGATTTTCAGATAAGGAAGCTGAGGCTCGGCAATCCTCCATCACTCGCCCATGGTCTTAGTGTTGGAATATGGCAGAGGAAAATGGACACTGGAAGCTTCTTGACTCTAGAGCCTGCATTTTCACTATTGTTATTTACATGCCATGCCATCCCTCTGTGTGGACAGTTTTTAAATGAGCATCTATTTTTGTCATCTTTATAATAAGGTTATAGGTTCCTGAGAGCAGGGCCATGTCTTATTCATCTATGTAAAGTACAGGTGTTGGTGGTGGGTATTAGAAAGTTACGGCGCAATCTGTATGCCTTCTGTGAGTTCAGAAATGTCCGACATATCTAGAGGAGGAGGGACGTCGCCATGACTCCTGGGGGGAATGTGTGTGAGCATGAGGGGACAAGAAGACTCTTGGGAACGTTCTCGTACTCTTGGGAAAGGAAGATGACGGTTCACAGGCTTGGTCCAAGGACAGTGACAGTGGCGAGAGTGGAGAGACTATTTTAAATATGTGAAGGGCTGTGTAAGTCAGATTGCTCCTCACTCAGCACTGCTCAGGGCTGGCCACTTACCTCTTTCCAGAAAGCTCTGAGGAGAGAAAATTGTAACAAAGTGGAAAGTGTATTATTTGAATATCTGGAAGAGAATATTTCTGAGAAACATGAGGGGATAGGGCCATGATGACCATAATAGTAGTAGTAGTAATCAGTTTCCCTCTCTCTTAAAATGGGAATATCTTGCAGCTTAGTCAGAATTAAACGTGTGTAGGTGTCTAGCATATAACTTGATACGTAATAAGTATTTAACCGTTAGCTATGAATATTTATTAAGTACATGCAGTTAGCCAAATATTTACTTATACTGCCTCACTTGATCCTCAAAACATCCCTGCAGAGCAGATATTTTTGTTGATTTTACTGCTGAGGGAACTGAGGCCCAGAGTTGTTAAATAAATTTCTTAAAACCTCACAGCCATCATTGGCAGTGATGGGAGGTGGGAAGGAAAGGTTAGATTTGGGGCAGATTCCATGATTCTTCGTTATCTTCCCTTGACTTTCTTGTTGCTGCTTTATGACTCTGGAGGGCAGTACCAGTGGGAATGAGAGGCATTTCTTCTCCCTGGAGCATGGAGTGGAGGAGAAACCACTGCTTGTGGATGGCACTGGATGTCGCTCCACCTTGGTGATTTATTCCTTTTTAACCTGTGTTGGGAACAGCAAGGTTGCTGTCATGTGGTTACAACTGGTCACAGAGAGGAGAAAGCTGCCAGTGGACAATAGGAGATCACATTTGGAAGCACATGGGAGACAGCCCCGGGAGCTCTCCTGAATGATGAGTGTTTGAAAAGGACCAGGGCTCCCGAACTTCAGCAGGTGGGATGGATCTCGAGAGAATACTGTTGTTATGCACCACTGTATATTCACATTTGTAGCCATGGACCTAATCCAGTGTCTTGTATACTAAAGGCACTCAGGAATAGTTTGTTGAAGTGAGTGGTACTAAAAGGAGGATCTGGCTTCTATGATGTGATCTGAAGGCCTATCCATCAGGTTCAGAGTGGAAATAGAAGCCACTTCAGATATTTCAAGTAGAGAGGACTTTAATGTAAGAAACTAGGGGCTTGCACAATTGTTGGAAGAGTTGAAGGAGTATGTTATAAACCAGCCTCCAGTTCTGATTCTCAGAATCATACAGAACTGACCTACGGTGGGAAGTTGCAGGAGCGGCTAGCCCTGAGATCACCCTGAGACCATGCAGAATCAAGATCTTGACACAACTGCTTCTGTCCCCTGGTTTCCAGAGCCCCTCGTGCCCAGGAAGCTGAAGAATGGATACTCTAGCTGTGAGTTGGGGCTTAGGAAGCCAGATCAGGAACTGTTGCTGCTGCTACTGTCTCCAAAATGGCTTCTCAACACCCAGAAAGCTGGAGAACGGACACTGGGATGCTGCTACAGAGATTTCCTCATGGTTCCACAACCATGCTGGCCAGCAGAAACAGACAAAGGCAGAAGGACGGTCTCCACCTCACCTCTGCCTTGCAATCTCTCAGTGTGCGTTCAGCTCGAACTGCAAGGGAGTCTAGGAAATGTAGCTTTTAGTTTTCCACTGTCTCCAAATAGAAGGAGGCACAAATGGAGGTTGAGTGAAGAAACTCATGTTATTGAGGCCAAAGAGAAAGCTACTCAACTCCTCAGGCTCAATTTAAATGAGGATAATTATAACAGTACCAATCACCAAAAGTCTTCGGGATAAAGTAAGTAAGAAAAAGAGGTATGAAGTAAAAATATATCAAATATCAAATTTGGTAGTGCTTATTCAGCTGTGATCTGCAGAGCATTAATTCAACAAATATTTATGTTTCAGGCATTGTTCTAGGCACATGGGATGGATCACTAAACAAAATGAACAAAAACCCTGCCCTGAGGGGCTTCGCTTCTAATGGAGAAAGAGGGCTAACAAAACAAAATAATAGTAATAAGGAAATTATATAGTATTTTAGAAGGACAAGGGCTATGAGACGAGGGGGAAGAGTACTTTGGGGAATGCCAGAAACAGGGGAGGCCTCACTGGGAAGGCAGGATTTGAGCGAAGGCTCGGAGAAGTGTAAGAATGAGGCAAGTGAATGCTGGGAAGTTTGAGGGAAGAATTCTAGCAAATGCCCTGAGGAGGCAGTGTGCCCGGCGTGTCAAAAATGGAACAAAACAGCATCAAAGAAGTCAGTGTGCTGGAGAGGAGAGTAAGAAGAGGAGAGGACGAGGAGCCAGGCCGGGGTTGCAGGGCAGCTGGGTCACATGGGGGCTCTAGCCCTCTGCCGGGGCCTGAGCTCTTCCTCTGAGTGAGACTGAAGCCCTTGGAGAGTTCTCATCAGAGGGACCATGACCCTACTTACGTTTTAAAGGATCACCCT